CATGAACCGGGTCGGAACCGGCGGACAGGGAACGGGAACAGAGATTAAAACCTTAACGGGACCAGGCGCTTCCAGGTCCCGGACTCGCACGGTGCCGAAACCAGACGCAGAGCCAGGATGAGCGTCAGCGCCTGGCTTTTAAGGTGGGCTGGGAAAAGGGATCAGGTGCACAGAATTAAGTCTAAAGTGAAAGGGCTGGAGCACCCTTAAGGAGGGGGGACTATAACCGTGACATAAGGAGAGCTATAAATAAGTGAGGGACATTCAGATGTTTGGTTCCAACAACTTGGCTGGGCAGCTTGTTCTTCTACACACCATGGACACCCATGGGTGCTCAGCTGACCATCCTAAACAGCAAGTGTTTGGTGTTCGCACCTAAACACAGTTAAAGTGTGAAATATCCCAGGCCACGCCTTATTACATGCCTATCCATGGCCTGAGCTCGGATTCACAGTGATCACTGGAAACACGCAGCAGTCACCATGCTGCTGAGACTCATTACCAGTCCTCCGAAATCTGGCTTTCTGTGTTCACAGCTCATCATCCCTGAACTCCGGGGTTTCCCGTTAGCTGGGTATCGACCAGATGTCTTATCATATAAACCTTCCCTTCAGCAGACCCGGTGTTATCTGTTACGTCGATATCTGCTCCTGGTCCTGAAGGGGGCGCCATTTCTCCCGGCATTCACTCTGAGGCAAATTGCGCCTTCAAGAGTCAGGGCTGTCGTTCACTCGGCTGGTCAGTATTGCCCCCGTCTCTAGCTGTTGGGGATAAGACGTCAGCCCTGCAGGACCAGGAGTGGACATCAGGCTCGCTGGTGTAGCTGTCCAGTCGCTGGTCACGGCACGGCTCCCCAAGTCACTGCTCCCGGTTTCATCCTCTTCCTCCTGGTATCCGAATCCAAGACCTCCGGAACTCGACTCTCCCCAGCCAAGGTACAGCCAACACTGTCTCTTCCAAACATTTCCACTGCTGCCAAAAATAATCTGGACTCTGTTGGTGTTAATGGGCGCGAATCTGGCTCGATATCTATTTGCTCTTTCGTCTCTTATTATTGCTCATAAGAATAACAGAATAACAGAACGCCCACACATGCACACACAAGAGAAGATCACTCAGCACGCTGGCCTTTTGCTAGAAGGAGGGTTAGGACCCATACCATGTGCCATACCCACGTGAGGCCATGGTGAAGTAAGAACAGCGATCGAGTCAAAGTGTCTCACGTCACCTGGGTAGATCCTGCCCCATCGCAGTCAAGCCCCACAAGAGCACTGTGGAGCCACCCCACGGCACGTGACTGCCCACACCAGGCTGCTGGCAGGGCTTCGCGCCCCATGTGGGCACAGACTGTGGCACGGCCAGCCAGGCCCGCGCCAAACCCAAGCCAAGAGGAACCGGGAACCGAACCGGGAGACCGGGCGGCAGGGGAGAGCTCGCACACGGACGGGCCGCAGGCGCCCGCAGCCGGAGCGGAGAGACCCCACCTGTGTGGGGGGGCGTCTTGATTACCCCCTCGCACTGTGTACTTGACGCCTGGCCCTGCGGTTGTTCGAGGTGTTTCTTGAAGCTGCCATCTTCCCAATCGGTGCCACTTCCATCGACACATTGGCCCGGCGCCGTGAGGAATTCCACCGGCCAGCTCAGCTGGACCCTCCTGTGCTTTGGCAGGCTGAAAGAGTAAAGCAGTGCGGCAGAGAGACAGGGCTCTTCTCCAGAGCCCCGCGCATGTCTGACCCTCAGGAGGCAGAAAGTCACAGTCATGTGAGCCTCAACAGCTGGATCTTGAGCAATTTGCATGTTTTTCTCCCTTGGCTGTGCATCTCCATCATCAGTGAGTAATATTTTCTTCCTTTAAACAACTGTTCCTGCTGCATCCCAAAATCTAGAAGCATCCTCATTTCCTAAGCACTCCCGCTACCAGTAGATACACAGTGAAGCTTGAACAAGAGGACATCTCTACACAAAGGGTGGCGGGAGTGTGGAACAAACTGCCCAGCCATGTGGTTGAAGCCGATACCCTGGCTTCCTTCAAGCCACAGGTGGATGAGATCCTGAGATCAATTAGCTATTAACTACCAAACCTCTGTACTCTGTACACATCCACCCTGAGCCTCCTCAGGTAAATGCACCCCCAGGCTTGCAGAACGTGCACCCCAAGCCTCCAGCACATGCACCCCAAGCCCCACAGGCCACACAGCTCTTGCATGATGGACAATGCCATGTCTCACTGCAGCAGGCAGAGACTATACCACAGTGCCTCCCCTAACCACCCAAGCTTTTGACTTGTTGGCAAGAAATGTCCTGGAAAAATGTTTTATTTGCATCTGGTGGTGTAGCAGTTAGCACTGCTGCTTCTTATCTCTTAGGTCCAGGGTCCATTCTAGACAATGGCAGGTTCGTAGGGGGAGTTTGCATGTTCTCCCTGGGTTTGCGCTAGTTTGCGCTAGTGTTCGGTTATCTTCCTGCCTCTCAAAGACACGCTGGTACAGTATGTACATGTCCTGACACAAACCAGGGGTCTATCTGCTTCCAGGATAGACCCCTGGTTGCTGTTACCCTCAGCAGCCATCAGGAGGCGGCAGCGTGGAGTAGCGTTCAGAGCTCTGGAGACACAGCTGGACGGCTGGGCATTCAAATCCTGCTTGGGACACCGCTGTTGTAGCCCTGAGCAAGGCTCTGCGCTCAGAGAGCTCCAGTATATAGCCCAGCAGTATAAATGAGCTCAAATGTACGTTGCTTACTGTAGGATAAATGCATCATACGGATGTATTAAAAATAAAAAAAATAAGAGGCTTTCATATAATGGATGATGCACGGTTAATAATTTCCACGGCTAATGTGAGTTTCAGTACACTGCACATGTGAGCTTTTCACATTCAGCTCAAAGCAGCCAACAAGGCAGAACGCATTATTAAAAGCTGATCGGTTGGATCAAAAACCCGCAGGGGCTTAGAAAGCACAATAAACAGGAGCTGGACTCTGTGACTCCAGCCCTCCCTCTGCGGAAGGCTGGTCCTGTTATCCAGGAACTCTGTGGCCCTGGAATGCTTGTAACAAAAAAGAGAATCAAACTGAGCTGAGATTAAGAGGGTGATCCAATCAGCCTTCACCCTGCTTGGAGAAAATCCCTCTTTTTTTTCATTGGTCAGTGCGGAAGCGCTGTGGCTTCCTAATCCTCTTGGATTGGATAACATTTCTATTTCCAGATTAACGGAATGAAAGGAGCCTGTCAGAATCCGTCCGTATTAATACTGGCATCGCAAGGCCGCGAAAGCAATCTCTCTCCATCACGCCCGTGCGAGTGCGTCCCCAGTGGTCCGAGACGCTAGCTGGCCGGTGGGATTTCCTGCTCCTCTCCGTGTGGACAAGCCCGTGTGCAGAAGGAGCCGGTCCGTGGCTCGGGCTTGGGCCCGGTCCCAAGGTCCGGCTCGGAGGGCATCAGGACCCCTGCCATAGTCCCTGCACTTTTCCACAAATCCACATGGGAAGGGGCTCGGGAGCACCTCCTGTCCGCTCTCTTCTAGGTCCTGGGCGGGGGTGCAGGTGTCAAACACGGTGTAGGAGCTCCGCACGCACTCACAGTGGTGGATGAGGGGAATTCTGTGCTGGAATTCCGGCCACACTTCTGCCTAGACAGACCAGCGCAACACACCTAGTTCAACCTTTCAACCTCTCACCACCACACCGCCCTTCAGGGGGAGCTGTGCTACAGCACGAGAAGATGAAAGGCCTGATTTCCTCGAGTTCTCCTTCCCCGTTTGTCCCTGCAGAGTGTAACGCACGAGCTCGGCTCGGGCGGCCCAGTCGGACCCCTGATCCCAAACCTACTGGGGATCTGCGGCTGGCTTGAACAGCGCAGTCCATCACCGCCCTCCCCGCAATCCTCCGCGAGGAGGAGTGGGCCAACGCTGCCACATCCAGGCGTGGTACAGAACTACCCAGACAGAATCCTGGCTGTAATTCAGGCAAAAGAGGTTCCATCGAGCATTAATTTCGGGGGTGTGGAGACTAATCCAACCAACCTTTCGAGAGTTTCGTTCCTAATGGCTTTTCAGCAAGCTTGAGCAGGCGTTTTGTGCTTGCAGGTCATCTGTTGTAATGAGTAAGCACAGGGAAGATGGATTCTGACAGAAGGCGTCTTGTTGAGAGCCTGTAAGGTGGAAAGGGTGCGCAGACATCCTCTAGGCTCTGTGCTGTTGGCTGGTGTGTCGGGCGTGCTGGTGTCATATACAGTGCGTGTTCCCATGTGACAGCACACGGGGGGCCGTCCGCTGTGCTGATCAAGGAGAGTTAATGCCTTTTACCAAGCCCACGTGGAGCCCGGGGAAAGATTAGTGAAGTCCTAAATGGATTCGCAACAGCAGGGGCCGTAACAGTTTGTCTATTTGTCTCCTGAAGAGGTAGAATTACCGCGATTTTTATTTCTTGAAAAACGAATCGCAACTCTTGGTTTTGGCCGGCTCTGTTCTTCCATTTGTTTCTCAGCTGTTTGCTTTAGTGCTTCACAGGAATTAAAAGAGAGGGACTGGACTGATGCCTGGATAGATTTCATTTCCCCACTTTTTCATCACGCAGTGATCTTTAGACGTCCTTCACAGTGTTTTGGAAGAAGGAGACCAAGCATTGACCTTTGTGTTTCAAGTGAATGGAGGAACGGGGGCTG